GAGAGGGAGGGGGCGGAGTGGGTGGTAAGGGAGGGGGTGGGGGCAGGGGGGAGAAATGACCCAAGCCTTGTATGCACATATGAATAATAAAACAGTAAAAAAAAAATATCACATTGAATATCATAAATAGTTAGTCCTCAGTAACTGTGGGTGACGGATTGCAGGACTCCCTGCAGATACCAAACTACACAGGTGCTCCAGGCCCTTATATAAAGTCTGTAGCATTTGTAAAGAACCTATGCACCTCCCGTGTGCTTTGTGACATCTCTGCTTATAATACCTAATACAATATAAATACTATGTAAATAGTTGTATTGCCTAGGGGAAAGTGACAAAAAAAATAGGCTCTGTACATGTTCAGTACAGATCCAGGTTTTTATAAACATTTTTGATCTGAAGTTAGTTGATTCCATGAATATGGAAACCACAAATACTGACTGTATATATGATTTTTAGGACTGGAGGTGTGGCTCAAGTGGTAGAGCACCTGCTTTGGAAGCACAAAGCCCTGAGTTCAAACCCAAGTCCCACCAAAATAAATAAAAAAATAAAGTTACATTCATGATTTCGATTTGTCAATTATACCTTAATGAAGCTATTAGGGAATTGAGGAAAAGAAAGAAAAAAGGAAAGAAGGGAAGAAGGGAGGGAGGAAAGGAGGGGAAAAGAAAGAGAGGGAGGGAGGGAGGAGAGAGAGAGAAAGGAAAGAAGGGAGGGAGGAGAGAGAGAGAAAGGAAAGAAGGAATGAAGGGAGAGAGGGAGGGAGGAAAGGAGGGGAAAGAAAGAGAGGAGAGAGGGAAGGAGGAAGAAAAGAAAGAGGAGGAAAGGAAGGAGGGAGGGAGGGAGGGAGGGAGATCCCTTAGGCTATAAGACAGGAAGTACATATATGTGCATCCACCTTTGCCAGTGCCCCAAATATAATGTTACTAAATAAATTTTTGTGGAATGAATGATTTCTAGAAGTTAAATTTGATTCAGTACTATCCTTACCTGGAGCCCTGGTAGGTCTGATGAAAAACACTGAGCTGGGTTTGTGAAGATTTGCTCTGTGAATAAGCACAGTTTTAGGTTTTTATGAAGTCAAATCTGTCTACATTCTCTATGATTTCTTCTTATCCTTCTGAATTTTAAAATTCCTGCACATACAGGCCTCAGCCCTCATTAAAGATATGATGATTTTTCTCGTATCAATTTCTCATGGTTTTCCTCCTGTTTAATCCAGTCTTTCTCAGAGGTGGTTAGTACTCCTGGTACTCCTTGTGATGATATAAGATGATTTTAGGACTTCCATTGACAAATATTTTTCCATTAATGATTTTGTGGGTTTTTTAAATGAGTATATAACCATGGTATCAAACTTGTATTTCCCAAATGGTATTGTTTAGGATAAGAATAAGTTTTTAAAGATGAGTCAGTATTAAAATTTAAGTAGATAATAGGGTACGTGGGTGATTAATACAGAAAACTGGAGCAAGGGATGTGAGAATTAATTAGGTTTGAGGAACACTAGCTAAATCCATTCAAAGTTGAGCTTGCTGTCTAGAGCAGGGACTCAACTGGTTTCCTCCATCTTAGCCCCCAGTTTTAGCCAACTACTCCAAATCATCTACTAAATGCATCCTGCCCCCTTGATAATGATTTTTTAAAGTTCTACATGAATTCTTATGTGCAGCATCACTGGACCATCTTCTTTGTCTCGTTACTTTTCCAGTAGTCACAACCTATTACCGTGCTTTTAATCACTGTGCTCAACTTAATATTTGGCTTAGTAGGTCTTCTCTCCCCACAAAGATGGCTGATTTTGAGGGCTGGGGTAAGGGAGGGGTGAAAGGACAGTGACTTGTGTACAGCAGCACACCAAGTAGAGCCCTTGGGGATGAGCGGACTATTGTTATAGCATGGGAGCTGGATGGACATTGCCAGACTCCAAGTTGAAGTATAAGAGCTCTGCCTGCCAAGGGGAAATGGAGAGAGACCAGATGGATGGATGAATGGATAGATAGATAGATAGATAGATAGATAGATAGATAGATAGATAGAAAGATGGATCCTAGTGTATATAGGTCTTAAGGTGAGAAGTAAACTACTATGCTATTCTGTGTCATTAAGAACTAGACATGGAAGGATGTGATTTGAGGCCTAAAGGACACCTGGGATGAGGTGCTGGGTAAATCCTAACACCCTTGCAGTTATCCAGTCATTTGCCTGTGAAATGGGAGAAAAATGTCAAATAATGTTGAAAAGACATTTCAGCATATCAGGAAAAGACATGTATGTATAAACACACATGTGTGCACACAGTATTATATACATACGTATTTGTATATAAATATGCAAATATACTAAGGACAGAAAAATCCAGACTTAAAACCAGTGTGTAGCTAGGTAGGTCTTAACTTTCTCCCCATAGAATTCTTATTTAATGACAGAGTTCCTCCAAATGCATAGCTTGCCCTATGACTCTAATTGTTTCCTTGGAGTGCACCAACACGCCAAAGAAAAGAACAGTGCAAAACCACATACCGTATAAATCAGTGGGGAAAATGTTTTGATTAATAAATACAAGTAGTCTCCTATCCTACTTTTCTAACACACACAGGGCACAAAGTGAGGTACTAGGATCGCCTGTACTCATTCACCCCCAGCCTGTGTGATGGGGAAGCAGGAGGAAACCATGGTCAGACAATGGCATTCACTGAGCTGAATAGGGAGTAGGCTGGAAAGGCTTGAGAACACTTCCACTTCAAAAGCCTGTCCTTTGAGGAAGGAATAAAGGACCTCATAACCACCTACCTCCTGCCCTCCACACCCTACAAAGTAATGCCATTAGTAGTATTTATCCTGCTGCTGAAAAGAAATTCGTTACCATATTTGGCTAGAGGCATTGGTGAGTTGATCCCGTGGACTCTGTTGAACTTGTCTCAAGTTCAGAGTGAAAAGGATGGAGAATATGTACCATATATGAATGAGAGCAAGAGAAGGTAGTGAATAAAGACTCATGTTGAGTCATGCTGAATCGTGTCACCACATGGGATTGACCAGGGGAGACTAATCCCCAGGGTGGGGTTACTTCTGGTCTTAAATGGGTATCTCATCCGGGCATTGGAAGTTCACTCCTGTGATCCTAGCTACTTGAGATTGGGAGGATCATGGTTCCAGGACAGCTTGGGCAAAAAAGTTCACAAGACCGTATCTCAGCAGAAAAGTATGGGTATCGTGGAGTATGCCTGTCATCCCAGCATAAAATAGGAAGATTATGGTTCAGGTCAGCCTGGGCGAAAAAATGAGACTATCTCCAAAATAACCCAAACACAAAGGGCTGGAGCTGTGGCTCAAGCAGTAGAGCACCCGCATAGCAAGTGCAAAGCCCTGAGTTCAAACCCCAGTACTACCACCAAACAAAGAGGGGGGAATGTCTCAAGTGGGAACCTTGGTGCTACCCGGAAGTGCTCACCTCGGAGGCAGGGAAGGAAACAGGAGGCCCACTTCCCTATAAAGTGCCCGGGCTTTGCCTGGGGGCCAGGACCTTGCCCATTCTGGGGAGTCCAGGGTGGGAGCTCATCCTCCCTCTGCAGTCCTCCAGGTCAGCTGTGGGGTCTCCTGGTGATTGAAGAGGGCTTTGAAAAGAAGAGCTGGGTTTATAAATAATGCATTTCTTTTGTCTTGCAGGGATTCTGGAGGCAGAGGTACAATCAGATCAGCTGTGAACAGCTTACATAGCAAATCTAATAGGTTTGTAAATTAGATTTTGTGTTCATTTGTTTTTGCTGTAAGGCAGCTATTAATCTGCTTCTCCTCTTGGCTGGATGGTGCCCTTCTTACTTAGCAAATAGATCTGTTTCCTTTCACTTTGCTTTTGCATTTCCCTAATCACTTTTGGGGGAGCTGTCAATGGAAGATCACTTGAAATGGCCGAAGGCCTAGATGCTCCAGAGATAGAAAACGCAGATGGGTGAAGAGTCACTTTCTGGGAACAGCCCACCCACTTTGAAGAACTTCCTTGTGACTTGCACTTTTGCTGAGTGGTGGAGACCCTGAAGGACTTTAACACAATTTCATTATGGTTGATAGCTTGTCCAGGGGGTTAAGATGGAAATAAAGCCTTCTAGAACTCTGCTCAGACCTTCTAAAATGTGTAGGGAGTCAACTCAGTAATGTCAACTCTGATTATTGAGTGTGTACTCTGAATTCTCAACCATATGACTGGAAGCCATTGAAACAGATAGTCCTTGGCTAGGGGACAGAGTGACCCAGTCTTGCCACTGACTTTGTTTGTACAATGCTTCTAAGTCCCCATTCTCCACCAATGACAAGTAGCCCATAGCCTTGACCTTCAAAGCCCAAGATTAGAGAGCAGTGGAGGTAAGGGTCAAATTATTTGACATAGACAAAGGCCACCACTCAAAATGAAGCCCTTGTTTTGCCTTCTGAATGTCTGATGTTGGCCTTGCTGGGAATGAGAGGTCCGTATTATTCAGAGGGAAGTTTGTTAGTTTCCCTTCCAGAATTTTTTTGGGTCTTTTGACCATATGAACCTATCCTATATGTCTGTTCCTGACCCTGGGTGGCTGACTTGAGGAACTGCCTCCTCTGTCTCTCACAGCACTGCTTCTACATGTCCTCTTAACCACTTAGCTATGAATGAAGTTTCTGTTCTGGCTAAAATGCAAATACAGCAGGAAGAAAGGAGAGAGCTCCTACCACTTCTCTATGCTGTTGTGAAAGGATGCCCCCTGTTGGAGAAAGAAGTGCCTCCCTCAAGCCCAGGTCCTCATGGTAACTTTAGGAGGTTCTATCTTATTGAGTCTCAGGCTGAGCACAGTCCTAGGAGCAGGAAGCCCTGGACTCAGGCCTGAGTTTGCTGATGATCTCTGACAAGTAACTTCACTCTCTGAGCTTGTTTCCCATTCATTCAGAGTAACAGGGCCGTACCTTCTTCTAGGCATTATAACTGAACACAGGGTCTACCTAGCCTAGTATCAGATGATCAAGGCACATGGTGGACACTTGTCATTGTTACTGTGGATGTACTTGTGGCATCAGAAGATAGTGACTGAGGTGAAGGCAAGGCAACATAAGCCTGAAGTGTACCTCTAGTGTCACCTGGGGGAGTTGAGGGTACAGGATGGCACATTCTCTAAAGAGGGGTGTCACAACTCAGTGGTCCAGCCAAAGTATGCAAAACCTATGAACAGAGGGGGTCCCTAAGATATCCAAGCCATCCCCTTAATGGTACATATACAAAGACAGAAGCCAGAAACCTGAAGTGACTTTGCATGTCCCACAGCCAGCGCTGAGGTCGAGGAAGGTCATGGCTGGCTATACAGGATCCTATTCAAGGCTACACAAGGAAGTAGGAGCAGAGATAGCATTTTACCCCCATCTCTGCAGCATTTTTCTCCTTCCCTTTCCTGCTTCCTCTACCTTGTGTCCAGGAAAAGTCTGGAAAGCCCTTCTAGAGGTTTTTGAGCGGGTGCCCCTGCAGCATCCACAGCTGTATCACCTCTGAGAGTGCCTGGGGCTATGCTATCTGGGAGCATCACCATGGCCTGAATCTACCTAAAATCACAGATGCTAGGCTTGGTCACTGGTCTCTGATGACAGTGTCAATTCCCTGTTAGGAAGTCAACCCTCATCCTCAGCATTAAAGCGTTTCTATCACACAGCCCTGCTGATGGAAGTTGCAGGGAAGTTTGGGCTCTTGGGATGTGACAGTTAAACTCAGGTCCTGAGGTCACTGCTCCCACCTCTGGCCACAAAGAAGTAGGCAGTAACAAAAGGATATAGCCATTCCAGTTCCTCCTGGTGCCCCACAAGATGTCAGGAAACATCAGTGGTCCTTTAGAACTTCAGAACTGGGTATCTTCTTCTACACACTCTTTCTATAGAGAAACTGTAGCTCAGCAAGGTAAAGTGATTTATCCATGCTCACACAGCTTATGAAATCTTTCCGCCATACCCTCTGCTTCCTTTCATGAAAACAGTAAAAATTCCAAAGGGTAGGTTTTCTGTTTCTTCTCATCAGCTTCCAAAAACCTACAAATGCCACCCACCTTACTCAAAACCCTTTACATGAGCCGGGTGTGGTATTGCACACCTATAACTCCAGCTGTGTGGGAGGCAGAGGTAGGAGGATCGTTGTTTCAGTCCAGCTTGTGCAAAGTTAGCATGAGATCCTGTCTGAAAAACAAACTAAAAGCAAGAGGTCAGGGAGCATGACTCAAATGGCAGAGTGCTTGCCTCGAAAGCAGGAGGCCCTGAGTTCAATCCCCAGTATCACCAAAACAAAAACCTTTTTCAGCTGGTATGCACTTGAATCTAAGGCAAGGGCTAGTAGCCAGAGGGATCAGAAATATTCAGGAATGGAGGTGCACAGGAATGTGCAAGACAATGTGAACCCCCAAGAGGATTTCTCCTCTATCTGCAAAAAATAAATAAATAAAGCTTTGAGTTCAGAGCTTGCTAACAGGATTTCATCTTTTTTAACTTGACTGTTCTGAGATAAATGCACAGGACAGAGATGTTTGGTTTGAACTCTTTAAAGCTCCAGAATTTAGCCTCACAAATCTATTTATCATTCGAATGGGGAAAATCTGCTGTCGGCACAGACAAAGGGAACCTGGGATGTGACCCACATCAATCTGCTTGCATCCAGCAAAAGGCAAAGATAGAATTGTAACCTAGTTTCTTAGAAACCTACTAGCATAGACTTCAAACACCTGAATTCAAGTGAGTGCTGTGAAGCCTGGGGTTCCTGAGTCAGATGGAAAGATGGTTTATACCCAGTATTGTGATCTGCCTCAGGTGTACCACACCAGCCAGCTCCTCCATCCACTCCAGGCTCCTCTAGATCAATTTCAAAGTCAAATTTAACAAACACCTATTTCTTGAGCACATCCCATCTTAGACCATTTACAAATGTAGCAGTGAGGGAGGGAAGTCACTGAGTAGGAGAGAGAGACACTGTACAGATAACTCCGATACAGGTGATGTTTCTTAGGTCAACAAGAAAATGATGGGAGCCAGGTGTTGTGGCTCACACCTGTAATCCCAGCTACCCAGGAGACAGAGATCAGGAGGATCGTGGTTGGAGGCCAGCCAGGGCAAAAAGTTAGCAAGACCCCATCTCAACTAATAGCTAGGTGTGGTGGTATGTGCCTGTTATCCCAGCTACATGGGAAGCATAAACAGAAGGATTGTGGCTGGCAAAAACATGAGACCCTATTTGATAAACAACTAAAATGAAAAGGGCTAGGGGGATGACTCAGGTAGTACAGTGTTTGCCTAGCAAGCACAAGACCCTGAGTTCAAATCCCAGAACCACCAAAAAAGAAAAGAGGATGAAGAAAAACAGGGAGTTATAAGCATGCAGAGGAGGAGAGAGAGGCCACAGGCTACAAAGACATTGTCTGGGTTTGCGTTTTTGTTTTCTCCTACAATACTCAGCTGCTAATCCACCTGCTACTTGAGGAGTTTCTTACCCTTAGCTTGAAAAGGAAATACTACTATTCCGGCAATGTGTGCCAGGTCTCACTGGGAGGAAACACACAGGGTGGAGAGGGAGAAAGAGTTTTATTGCCTGCTTCCCATCACAGGTAATAAATGCAATTTTGCTCCTCTGAAGTTTACATTCAAGCCTGTGCAAAAACAAAACGATTAGACTTGTCTTTGGCAAGCTAACAGATCGTGTCTACCTTCGTGTTTTTTTCCCCTTCCAGAACTGAAGTTGTAATAAATGGCTCCTTGCCGCCAGCTGTTGTTGACAGAAGTAATGAAAGCATTAAACACAGCATTCAGCCAGCCTCGACCAAATGGAGACACAACGAGACGCTGTCTCTGAGGATCAGGTACTGGTAATTACCTATAGGACGAGAGGCAAGCCTGGCCTTCTTTGGCACAAGCTGGCAAATTGCTGCTCTCCATCATCTAAAGAAGGCAGGGTAAAAATAAAATGTTTACCTCCCACAAAGGCAGGTTTCATCTGCAAGGGATCAGTTGGAAATAAAATCCCCAGCCTAGCCTGGCAGCCTGGCAAATGTGTGCAGCCACCAGGGCAGGGCAGGTGGCAGGAGCTCCCCGCTGAGGGCCCGGGCTCAGGTCAGGGCCAGAGAGAGAGAGAGAGAGAGAGAGAGAGAGAGAACACCTGAACAGTGGAGAGCACAAGTGGACTCTCCTTCCCAGGGCTAAGGAGTCCTTCTTGTCTGAGTCATTCTGTGACAGTCTCCAGCTTGTTCATGGAGACCTGTCAACTCCCGCAGTCCTTGCAGCTGTCTTCCCCTCTCTCCCGACCTTGAACTTGAAAAACTATAGCTGGAAGACCCAGAACTGACCTAACACCTGGCCTCAAAGAGAAGCCAGAGATCAGCTCTTGTTCTTGCCTTTGAAGAATGGTGTTTTCTCACTGTAGTCATCCTTGGGTGGAGGGAACCAGGAACAGTAGAGCGGGAATTATAACTTCAGCTTTTGGATGCTTAGCTTTGATGTAGCTGTGATCCACCCACCAAATATTGGTCAGTATAATCCAACTGTTCATTTCTAGGCATTTCTAACAGAGTGGCCCAAATGGTAGTGTGCCTGCCTAGCATACACAAGGCCCTGAGTTCAAACCCCAGTACTGCAAAAAAGAAAAAAAAAGAGAGAAAGAAAGAAAGGACCTTTCTAGCATTGTCTTGGTTACTGGGGGGTACTGACATGAATCAGATGTGTTAGAGAGAGAAATACAAATGTAAGCAAGCCAGGACAGGGTGGTGGGACAGCCACACTGGGTGGTACATTGTCTCACGCACAGGTAGAAATAAGGAGGTGTACAGAGGGTATAAGACGGCTGTCAGGAAAGGTTGGCCCAGAGCGATGGGTTTTGAAGGATAACTAGGAGTTTGCCAGGGGTGGGAAGCTGCATCTTGCATGCTCAGAGTATGGAGTCTTGTGTTTGTGCACAGGGCTGCAGGAGCATGGAGCAGAAGGTGCGAATGGGGAGAGGTGGGTAAAGTTGATGGAACAGCCTGGACCAGACGAGGAAGGCCTTAGTGACCATCCCAGGCAGTCGGCACAAAGAAGGAGAAAATAACAGCCACCTGTAGTGCCACACACAGCAGGGAGTTGCCACCCCCGGAGGTGGAAGGTTCACTACCCCTAGCTCTTGAGGCTTGGTTTTAGGACATGGTGGGTGGCAGGGTGTGGGAGGGGAGACTAAAGAGATGTGACACATTGGGGACCTGGCAGCTGAGAAACCATCTGATAAGCTGTCTCTGGGCTCCACCATTTGTCACCTGTCACCCTTACTCGGCACCCTTTGGGGGCCACTTGGATGGGACTCCATGCTTGTCATGCTGCCCTGATAGCCACCCTTTCATAAGGAGCACCGTGGAGTTGCTGGGACCACCACCTGGCTCCCCAGGGCTGCCGTAGCAAAACACCACCAACTTGGTGACTTAAAGTAACAGAAATTATTTTCTCACGGTCCTGGAGGCCAGAATTCTCAACACTGTTCCCGTGGCTCTAGGTGAGCGCCCTTCCTCTTCCCTCCTCCAGCATCTGATGGTTTTAGGTGTTCCTTGTGGCTGTGTCACTCTGCCTCCATCTTTACAGGGCTTCCCCTCCTCTGGCTCTATGTAGTCCCCTCTTCTGTCTCTCACGGGACACTTCTTGTTGGATTTAGAGCCCACCTGGGGAATCCAGGATGATCTCACCATAAGATTCTTAATTTAATCACATCTGCAGAGATGCTGTCTCTAAATAAGGTCACATTTCCAGGTTCCAGAGCTTAGGAGATGGGCATCAATTCTGGATGGCCACCATGTACCCACTGTAACACCTGTGAGTGAAATGCTGCACACACCCACTTTTCCTTGCTGTTGGACGGTGTTATGCACACACACCCCACCTTTGAAGAGGACTAGGCTGTGGCCCCTGTAGGGAGCCTGAGAAACCCCGTCACAGAGGCAGGAACAACTTGCCTTCACCCAGAGGGAAAAAGAAAAGAATTTCTCTCCATTTCAGCCAATTAATCACCAAAAATTATTCATAATAAAAGATTCTGGGAATGATTTGGAATGATGTTCAGTAATTGATAGAAATTTCTCATAATTACTTAGAAATTAATTCCCTCGCAAAGGTATTTGTTTATGGGCTTTCTGGGGGCCCTCTTTGCTTTTAAATACTTTGGGTTAAATAGTTATAAGGAAAATTTAGCAATTTCCAAACTCTGTGTTGAGCTCTACAGTCCTTGGTAAAGCAGGGCACAGTGGTTCATGCCTGTCATTCCAGTTACTCATGAGATGGAGAGAAGGAAGATCATAGCTGGAGGCAAGCTCAGGCAAAGTGTTAGCAAGACCCTATCTCAACCAATAAAAGCTGGTGTGGTGGGGCATGCCTGTCATCCCAGCTATCTAGGAAACGTAGGTAGGAGGATCACAGTCCAGGCCAGCCCAGACAGAAACTGGAGACCCCATTTAAAAAATAACTAAAGTGAGGGGTGCTGGGGCCTGGCTCAAGTGGTTAAGTACCTGCCTAGCAAGCCCAAGGCTCTGAGTTCAAACCCCATACAGAAAAAAAAAAAAACACCTTTGTTTTCCATGAAGAGATAAGAGTTACAACACTGAGATTTCATCTCACCCCATTAGAATAGCCATTATCAAGGACAATGACAACAACAACTGCTGACGAGGATGGGGCAAAACAGGAACCCTTATACACTGCTGGTGGGAATGCAAGTTAGTACAACCACTATGGAAAGCAGTGTGGAGATTCCTCAAAAAACTAGAGCTAGAACTGCCATAGGATCCTGTGATACCACTCCTGGGCATCTGCCCAAAAGAACGTAAGACAGGATACAGTAGAGACACCTGTACACCAGTATTCATCACAGCACTGTTTATAATAGCCAAGCTCTGGAAACAACCCAGATGCCCTACAACTGAAGAATGGATCAAGAAAATGTGGCATATATACACAATGGAGTATTACTCAGCCACAAGGAATAATGACATGGGGTTTGAAGGTAAATGGATGCAATTGGAGGACATCACATTAAGTGAAGTCAGCCAGGATCAGAAAGACAAAAGCCACATGTTTTCTCTCATACATGGAAGATAGATCCTAACATAAACATACACACAAGAACAATTGTGATCATATACAAACTCAGATGTAGAACATGCTTGTAACAGTGGAGCTACTCTATAAAACTCGGGAAAAAAGGGAAAGGAAAAGAGAGTGACAGAGCATCAGTGATATTGTATACCCTAAGATGTGAAGGTAGAGGATGTAAGGATGTGTATTGAAAGCTGTTGAAAGGTAAAGGGGTAAAGGGGTAAGAAAGAGCAATGGAGGGGGTTGAATGGATGAAAGTAAAGCATATCCACAGTGGGCATACTTAGAGAAACCCCTTTGAATATCAACTTAAATATTAATAACAAAAAACAGGACTATAAAATAGGTACAGTGGGGGGGTACTAGAGGGAGGGGGAGGGTGAATGAAGAAGCTTAAGGTGAAGGTATATGGCAGATGGGCTTCATATACCTATATGAACTAGAACTAAGAAACCTCTTGCAATTGCTTTAAGTGGGGTGGGGAGGGCATTGAGGGGGAGAGACGATGGGGGCAATGTAAACAATGTACAATATAAGTCAAATCAGAATTGTCACTGTGAATCCCCACCCCCACCCCTGTATAATGAATATATCCTGATAAACAATTATTTTAAAAAGAAAAGAGAGAGAGAGAGAAGAGTTGCTCAGCAAAGGTGATTATCCTCTGCACAGTAGCAAGAAATCCAGGTCACAAATTCAGAATGATGTGTGGGTGCCCTGCCAAAAGTTCCAGCTGCCCTGTGGCTATTCCAGAGCCTCCCAAACCTAGGGCAGATAGTAGAGTCACCCAACCTGGGCCTCCCCAAGAATCAAGATTTCTCAGCTGTCACCCAGAGCTTCTGTATTCTTCCTTGTTCCCAAGTGCCTGGATGTGCAGCCTCTTGGGATATACCCAGCACGTACTCCGGCCTCAGTTTTACCATCTGCACAATAGGGCAGCCATCCTGAAGATTCTCACATTTGGAAACTGTGTGAAGATTCTGTCCCCATGGGGCTCTGTGGACAGGGAGAACAGCATCCCTGCATATCCTAGATAGGAGCTCGCTGCCAGGAATGAAATTAATTTTGGCTGATCTAAATACCCAGTTCCTTTCTCTTTAAGGCTTGCATCATTTCTAAAGACCTTTTGGGGAGTTTAAGCAGCTCTGTAAGTAGAAGCCCCAGTTGGGCTGCTCAGGCTCCTAGGGAAGCTGTGCATATTGGATAAAATTCCCCCAATGACTCCATAAGGACAGCTGTTCCTTTCTGGACCTGATTCCATCCCTTCTCACTGCTTTTCTAGGTGATTCCAGAATCTTTCCTCTAAATCAAAGTGACTCTGGAGCCTAGAGAGCTGTCTTTTGATCACTTCATTTTGAAATAACGCAGAGGATTCCCTTTCTGTAGGACCATGGAGTGTTAGAATTTACAAACCCCACACTAGACATGACTCAGGGAGCAGGGAACACACCCCAAAATATGGACCAGCCCATGAGCTGGCAGGCTCGGTTTCAGGGTCTTGAAGGTAGAAGTGGTGACACTCCTTACAGTCCCACACTCTTATCCATTACTGTGGGGGGGGGTTCTCTTTTCAGAGAAGGCTTCCATGGATGAAAATGGGCCAATGAGAATGAAGGCATATGTCATCCTGGCTGTTGTTTCCAGCTGGGAACTCCTTATCAAATGGTGGCCTTGAGTCCCCCTAAAAGAAGAGGTGTGTTGTAGGGGGACCACATGTCTGGATTTGCCCAAAACTAAAAGGTTATTTAGTGTGGGGAGTGGAGTATGAGATGAGAACTTGACATAAGCACAGCTATGCCCAATAATCTGCAGGCTGAGTTGGCAGGACCCCAGCCACAGAAGGGGGTGAAGGCAAAATGCAGCACAGCTGCTTTCCCTAAGATATTTATGTTCAGAGAGTAGTGATTGCAGGTCTTTCCTATTTCCAATAATTACAATTCCTCACCCTCCTGAGAGCTGTTGCTTCACCTCCTTGTTTGCCACGGTACATAAAAGACTTGCAGAAGGAGGACACGGGAGCTGCCACTGCTGCTTGTGATGTTGGCTGCTTGCAAGGTTGGCTGCCACTGATGACGCTGCCGAGGCTGCTGCTGCTGAGGTGGCTGTTTGTGTGTCTGAGAGTCTAAGGACTGAGACTTTAGGAATTGTAACAGAGATTAGGGGAAACATGGGACAGTGCGAGTCTAAGGGAAGAGACTTTAAAGAATAGAAAAGAAGTAAGGTTTTAAAGAATAGAGAAAAGAAGTAAGATAAGATAATAGAGAAAAGAAGCGATGAGGCTGTTGTGCATCTCCATCTGAGTGCCCAGCACACCTGACCCCAGCTTACTGCATGTTTGTCTTCTATCGTTTGTCCTTTCTGCATCTCCAGTCGCCCCCAGTTAGGTTTCTAGGACAAGCTCACGTGGGTCATGAGAACTAGGACAAGGGACATCGCCCCTCAATGAGGCACCCTTTTTTCAAGGGCCCTCTGTAAGGTCTACAACTCTGGTCATGCTCCACCAGTTTGCTAGGCTGTGACATCCCTGCAGGGTGACATGGAACAAGAAAATCCGGGTTAGCAAAGGGAAAGTGGCAACATGGAACATTCCTCATGCACCTTTGGTTTTCACAGGAAGCAAATCTTAAAGTTCTTGGATGCCGAGAAGGACATTTCTGTCCTCAAAGGGACCCTCAAGCCCGGAGACATTATCCACTACATCTTTGACAGAGACAGCACAATGAACGTGTCCCAGAACCTCTACGAGCTCCTCCCCAGAACCTCCCCCCTGAAGAACAAGCATTTCCGGACTTGTGCCATTGTGGGCAACTCGGGGGTCTTGCTGAACAGCGGCTGTGGAGAGGAGATTGATACACACAGCTTTGTCATAAGGTAACTACCTGGCCAGGTTCTCTGGCCCAAAGCAGCAGGCCTAAAGTTGACCACTGCCAGTTGTCCCAAGAGACAGAATCAAGACACATTAGTTAGTTCGATTCATCCCTTTTCTCAGCATTTACTGTGCATCAGAATTATTTGGGGGAGCTCTGCTCCCCTGTGCTCAGACTGAGGAGTGGGGATATGCAACCCCAGGAGCCCAGGATGGGACTCACTGATCCACAGCAGAAACAGGCACACTCTGGCCCTCAGCCTGCTGTTGTAAATAAAGTTTTATTGGAACACAGCCACCCTGACTCATTTTCACATTGTCAATGACTGCTTTCTCACTCTAATGCAGAGTTGAGCAGTGGTGTATAGCTGAGGCATTGTTGCTGAAGCAATGAATATAGTTGCTATCTGGCCCTGTACAGAAAAAGTTTGTAGACCCCTAAACAGAGCCTGGTATGAAAAGTTAGTATGATAATCTCCTGGACCTGTTAGTTGCTGGGTCAAGTTTGCAAAGCTGTTTCTGGTGTTCTGGAAGGTGGTGCTCTGCTAGTAACTTAATTATCCTGGAGTCAAAATCTGAGAGGTGAGGGAGTGACTGGGAAACTTGAATCTCGAACTTAACCTTCATTTTCTCTGTAACACAACTCTCACTTTTTAACCACTGGAGACATTTGGACACAGTTGCCCATAGCCCTGACCCTCCCCTCCCCCAGTGCATACAAACTTGGAAATAGGGCTTTGCTGTCTCCTGGTCAAAAACAGGCTACACAGAGCCTCAAGCTTCACTCCAAAAAAACTCCCAGGCCATGCACAAGTACAAACCATATCTCATGTTTCCACTGGTATCGTCCTCATGCAAGGAGGGCTTTGTCCCCTGGCTTTGGGTGCAGCGTGTTCATACAGCAACCTGAACTAAGGACGTGGGAAGAAACAGGCGTGAGTACTCTTGCATCCCCTGGGAGCCGAAGTTGCTTCTCTTTTGTTAGCCTTAGCCAGCAATCTGTGCCTGGCAGAGCCAATGGCTCTGTCCCTGTGTTTTCAAGCCCTTCAGTCTAAAGATCGGTTGAGGGAGGGTTGGGGAGGGAAAGGATAAAAGGAAGTGTGGCAGGATATCTGACTGGAAGCCAGAAGAGTGAGGGGTGGGAGTGGGTGGTTAAGGGGAAAAGCCATAGGGCAAAAGCGTCCTCTTGGTAGGGTCTGAGCAGCCTTGAGGAGGCCTTTCTGACCTAGTGTAACACAGACAGGCCATGCCTCTCTCTTTTGTCCTAAAGAATGAGTTCCAACAGGGAATTTTCCATGCCCCATGAGCCCTGGCCAGGAATTTCCAGAAGCAATGGTCGATTTTGGCCTAGCGCTTTCTCTTTGGATGTACAAAGCAAGCAGTGTGGATTCTGAAGTCCAGTATTGGCTCGGATATCTGCTATGTGACTTGGAGCATGTCACTCCTCCTTTGGGAGCCTGCCTTAGTGTCATCGTCTGTAAATGGGTGGGTCGAACTGGCTGGCATTAAGTTTCTTCCATTAGGAATCTTGTCCAAGTCCCAGCCCAGTGCTTTTTAAACTTGAACTTGGTTATGCGTCACCCACTGTGTTAAAATGCAGAGTCATCAGGTCTGAGATGGGCCTGAGACTCCATACGCTTGCATGCTCTGCTGCCTCGATCCTCTCTCACTTTCTCTCCCTCTCTCTCTCTCTCTCTCTCTCTCTCTCTCTCTCTCACACACACACACTCACACACACACTCAAGACAGTGTAATGTCATGATCGCTAAACAAGATGTGAACGTGCTCCAAATCACATCCCATATGACAATGGCACATTGAGTGTTGATTCTCTGTCAGCCCTGCATCTCTACCCCCCACCCCCCAGCCAGCAAGCTTCTCCAAAGACAGAGGTTGTGTCCATCTCTAAGCCTCCAGGCCAAGGCTGTGCCCAGTGTGGAGGCGGGGCCCCTCATGGCTCTACTCAGACGATAGGCACCATGAAGGTCCTAAAAGGAATGCCCCCGTCTCTGTCAATCCAAGTCTTCAAAAGCAGTCCCCCTTGCCCAGTGTTTCTGGGTTCCTTTTCCTGTGTGAGAGATACAGGGACACACAGGACTTTGCCCCTCTTAGAAACCCCTGCGTGGAGAACACAAACATGGGAGTTCTGATGGGACACAGTGCGCACAAAATGCTTTCCAGTGTGGGCATGGCTGACTTGGACCAATGAAAGCGGTGAGAAGGGGAACCGTGTGAGGAAGGGCAGAGAAGCTAGAAGGTAGAATCATGGGTCAGGGAGGCGCTGCCTAAGCAAGCACTGGCTGCTGGGAACTGAGGCTGGACAGGACACCTGGTCTTCAGAGGACACAGGATCCTGCAATTGCAGGGAGAGGAGACAGTGAGTGCCTGATTGAGGATCGTGTGTGCAGAGCAGGTTGTTCAGGGACCAAAGCCTCACTCTCTGTGCTCACGCAGATACACGCAGCCCTTCTCTGGGAGAACCCTTTAGGGGATGCTCTTTCCATAGGGAGATGACCAGCACCATCCCCTCCTAACATTTTTGGGCACTTAGCGTGTACCAGGTACTATTCTATGCACTTCACATGTATTGTGATTACTTATTTCATTCTCACAACTAGACTGTAAGGAGCATTTTATTTTTATCCCAGCTCTGCAATGAGGAAACTGAGGCACAGAGAGCCAAGAGTCACACAGCTAGTAAGGGCCAGAGCTATGCAGTGAACTGGACAGCCTGGCTTCAGAGCCTGCCCAGCTGCCCCTCTCACTTTGCAGACTATTTGATGTTTACTTCCCTTCCTGCCCATAGCCAAGCCCACCCAGCAATGCAGCTTCCCACTGCCTCTTCCCCAGATCAGGCTGAACACCTTCCTGACCCCTCCCTCCTTCCAGAAATGAATGCAGCTGAGCCCTGCCCCCAAAGGGCGCACAAGCTTGGCTCCCATATCCTGCAGCACCTTCCAATGGAGACATCCCAAATGGCTGATACTGTAGCAGTGTATTCCACCTCCCTGACCACCCTGTAAGCCCCCTAGGAGCAGGCTGTCCCTTTCCCTCCTTCCTCACCTCCTCCCACACAGCTCCAGCCACCTGGTGATTGCTACCAATAAATCTGAGCTGCAGTGAGTGCAACCGGGCCCCACTCTCGGGACCTGGAAGTTGATCTGGAAGAGGCCTCCAGCACACAGGGAAGATTCAGAAGCCTCACTGAGCCAGGCTTTGGGGCAATAAGTAACTGAGACCTAGGTGGCCCCAGACTGGCCAATGTGTGGCCTGTGGCAAGGGCTTCTGAAGGTGTCCCCAGGCGGTTCTGTTCCCTAAATTTTTATCCATGGTCAAAAGCAAAGTCCAGGTTGTGGGAATGAGGAGAAGGGTATTTTGGAGGCTCAGTCTGAATAGTTTCCAGGTTTCTGAGCCGGAATGCTGGTGGCCCCCTTACTAGCTTTGGGATTCTGGGCAAGTTAATTCACATGCTGTGACCTCAGTTTCTTCATATGTGAAAGACGGTGAATCTCACTGGGTCACAGTAAAATCAACCAATCTATGCCACCAGACTAGCCAAGGGTTTGGTGATGTTGTTGTGTCTTTTTGGGTTTTTTTGCAGTACTAGGGCTTGAACCCAGGGCCTATACCTTAAGTCACTCCACCAGCCCTTTTTTTTTTATGAAGGGTTTTTTCAAGATAGGGTCTTGTGGATATTTTTGCCCAGGCTGGCGATCCTCCAGATCTCTGCCTCCTGAGTAGCCAGGATTACAGGCGTGAGCCACCAGGGCCCAGCATTTGCTTTCTTTCTGATTACTTCTTCTTCCCAGTTGAAATGGGAAAGTCTTTGCTTAAAGGCAGGAATAAATAGTGTCTTTGTGGACTTCATTACTGAGGATGGCACATGCTCCTGGTCTCCCACCTCTGTAGAATACAGACTCCAATTTCTCAGACTTATTTCCACTGGTCCAAGGACTTTGCCATCACCAAATCCTCCATGCCAGACGGTGACCTACCCTTCCCAGCAGTGCCCTGCCACATCGCCAGGGCCATCGGGCCAGAACCCTGGGTTTGTCTTTGGCGATGAGGAGGAACAAGGACAGAAAAAGCATGAGAGAAAGTTTGATATAGGGAAGGACATCCAGCTTCCCCAAAGAACCACGTGGCCTTTTTCTCTGCAGGTGCAACCTGGCTCCGGTGCAGGAGTACGCCCGGGATGTGGGCCTCAAGACAGACTTGGTGACCATGAACCCCTCAGTCATCCAGCGGGCCTTTGAGGACCTAGTCAATGCCACGTGGCGAGAAAAGCTGCTGCAGAGGCTGCATGGCCTCAATGGCAGTATCCTGTGGATTCCCGCCTTCATGGCCAGGGGTGGCAAGGAGCGCGTGGAGTGGGTCAACGCGCTTATCCTGAAGCACCGCGTCAACGTGCGCACCGCCTACCCGTCGCTGCGCCTGCTGCATGCGGTCCGCGGGTGAGTGCCTCCCATGGGGAGGGGCCATTGCTCATTGCTAAGGGAAGGGCATGCATGACAGGCAATGGTCCTTCCATCCCAGCTCCACCTCCCACTGGCCACCACCTGGATGACCTTACAAGCCACCTGGCCTTTCTGAATTTCCATTCTTCAGAAATAAGGGGACTTAGCAAATGGATTTCCCCTGGCATGCCAATTTTGACCAATTGCTAGAGTCCTTCCTGGTGCACTGAGAATGATCCTGATTCTACACTGGGGCTCAGTGAGAACAGATGCCATCAACATGGGAGGGGAGATGGCGACTGGTGTGTCATGTGTCTGCCATCCCAAATAGATTTGGCTTCAAATACAGTCTCCTTAATCTCTCTGGACTTTAGTTTCCTCATCAGTAAAACATGGATGGGAACGGTAACATTGGAGGGATGTGCAGACCAAAACAGAAATGGGAGATGCCTTGTACAGCAGGTACACTATTAGTAGAGACACTCAGTGATTTCATCGTCATTCGTTGTCATCACCATCATCTTCACCGTGTAATATTCCCCAGCTCTGCAGAACATATCTTGTTGATAGAGCTAAGAGATCTCGAGAGGGTCTGATGAGGTATTTTTGTCCAAAAGGTCCTCTCTCCAGACAGGAGAAACTTCACCTAGAGAGTAGGGGAAATAGGAAGCATTAAAACAATGGCATCCACTCTCTTTGAGAAAATTGTTGGGCAAGATTGATGTCACCAGTCAGATAGGACTTCTCCTGGGCAGGCCTAGGTCTTGAATTCCAGAAAAAGGATTCCAAGAATTAAGGATGATGATGGGGAATGGTGAGAAGATTCTGGAGTCCATTTCAGCTCAGTCAAGACTCTTCAATGGCCCAGGCAAACAAGTAGTAATCCTCAGCTTTCTGTTTGTTTCCTCCCAACCATGAGACCAGGCAGTATTTTGGCTAGGAGTGCCCATCATAGCAGCCACCAGAGTAAAACTGGATGCTAAGCATTCATTCACTCAGTTCCAGTTATCTATTTCTGTGAAGTAAATCACCCCAAATCTTAGTGACTTAGAAAAACAACATTTTATTACTGTTCACAATTTCTGTTATTAGAATTCTGGTATGGCTCAACTGGATGGTTTTTGCTCAGGGTCTCTCACACAGTTACAGTCAGATAGTAGCTGGCAGTAGAACAGTGGGGTCTCTGGAGCAGCTGGGATCGATGGCATCTCTTGTCCCGTCATCTGAGGACTTCTCCCTGTGGTCTCTCATCATGGTGGCCTCAGAGCAGTCAGGCTACTCATGGGCCAGGGGAGGCACACAGACTCCAGCACAGGTGGTCTAGAGACCAAGGCAAAAGCTAAGTTCCTTTTTAAGACTACATAGTGTCACTTCTATCACAATCTACTGGCCAACCACTAAGGTGACCCAGAAACAAGGGGAGTGGGCAGGAATCCCACCTCTCAATGGAAGAGTACTAAGTAATTTGTGGATATGTTTTAAAACCTATGTACATTCATTCAACAATATTCATTGAGTGATTACTATGTGCTAGATCCTGTTCTAGACATTGTGACTCAGTAGTGAATAAAGTAAAGTTCCTGATATCATTAGCACTTAAATTTTCTGGTAGAAAATAAATTACAGATAAACAAATGAATCAGATACTTTCATAGAGTGCTATCAGGAAGGTCTTCTCTGGAAATAAGTTTGTTTGAGCTGAGATGTGAAAGATGAGAAGACAGCAGCTATGTGCGTGTCTGGGTTAGGAGGGAAACTCAAGTGCAAAGACCCCAAATGTTCAGGGATCAGCAGTGAATCACACATGGTTAAAGCAGAGAGAGCAACGAGAAAAGAGAGCAGTGGAGGGGGTAAATTCAAGTATGATATATTTGACACATTGTAAGAACCTTTGTAAATACTCCAATGTACCCCCACCCAGCACGACCATAATAAAAATTAATAAAGAGGAACAAAATAAATTTTATTGTACACAATAAAAAAGAAATAGAGTTAGAAGATGGTGTTGATGAGAGAGGCAAAGACTGACATACACACAGCCTTGTGGACGTGGTAAGGAGTTTGACTTTGACCTAAGTTTGAAAGGCAATCATGGGGGGTAGGGGGGAGGAGAACTGATTTCTCTCTCTAGCAGATCCCTCTGGTGGGAATGGAAACTGGAATAGGTGTTGAGGAGCTGTTGCGTAGCTCAGACAGGAAGTAATTATAGCTTAGACAAGATGGTAGCCTGGTATTCGTGACGGTTTGGTCAGATTTGCTTTATCTTGTGGAGGCCCAGACAGCAGAATTTGCTGGTGAATTCTATTGAAGGACAATAATAGGTGAGAGAAGAGAAAAATCCAGAATTTCATATTCTGTGATAAGGGGGCCTGCAGAAGCCCTGTGTGTTTGGGGATGTTGAGAAAGAGAGTTCTTTCTTGGGCATATAATTGAGAGGCTGTTACAAATACATACATACTCCAGCCGGGACCCAATTGTCCTTCCAACCACATGGGGATCACACCCCTGCTCCAGGGACATAGGAAGCTCAGTGTACAGATGCCTCAGCAATTGAGGGGCCTTGGATGCTCTTCAGAGGGGCCCAGCATAACCCTGGGAAGCCCTCTAAGCCCCTCACAAGGGACTCTTGTCCTCATGAAAATGGCTCTGTGTACCAAAGCCTATAACCACCACTGGACCCAGGGGTCATTGGGCTGCACCCCTTCAGCATCTTTTTATTTCACCCCATCACAGAGTGGGTCTACCACAGTAACCTTCATCTCATGCATTTAGGCTCCATGCCTTAAATGTCATTTCTCCCTGGAAGGAGCAAACTCCTGAGATGCCTTGGGGCTTCCCATGGATAAAAGGATAAGAAATACCCTTTGATAACCAGAGAGGAAGCCCCGTGGTTGGAAAATGGGCAGCCATCTGGAAGAAACCTCTGCAGCCAGAGCTATTTCCAGCTGTAACTGACTCACTTTCATCTGTCAAAATAGCATTAAGCACCAGTAATGATCCCTTTAAACAAACAGGCTGTTAATCCTGAGAGTGTAGCATCTCCCTTTGCGGGAGCTATAGGAGAAAATACTGCAGGAGCAACAGATGGGCTGGCCTCTGCCTTTAGCCAGGGAAGGAGGGAGGGAGAGGAGCTGCCGAGGCCTTGAAGTGGACTTCCACTAGTGGCCCTCTCCCTTCCTTAGCTCACTGGACCTTCCTGAGCTCTGACTCCAACAGGGCATCGACAGAAATGTGGGCATTGTGTATACTGAGCAGAAGGGTTCACCTCGGTCTTGATGGGGCCATACCTGGGGCTAGTGCAAATGGAGGATTGGTTTAGTGAGGGATGCAGAATGAAGCCACATAAGAAAAGACCAAGGGATTGTAGGGGGAAAACCTGAGGAGGAACCCAGAACCCGGCCAAACTAACATCACAAATCCAGGCTTTGAAGTTAGAGACACCCCCAAAAGGTCCAAATCCCAGCTCTGCTACTTGCTTGGTTATATTGCCTCTCTCCACACCCCTGAGACATACTGCCTTTGTCTCTTCCCTGGGGAACCCTATGCTACATGGGGGAGGCATATGATCAATCAGTGGTGGCCACCATTGTCATGATAGCTGCCACTAACCACTTGGAGAGCTATCACAGGGGAAAGGGATTATTAGACTTGTCCTGTAAACTCCGAAGGTAGAACTAGAGCAGAGGCTGGGACTACAAGGAGAGGAGGATATTTAGGCTCAATCTGATTCAGAGCTCTGGAGCTGTCAGAGCAATGGACTAAATCAAACTAGTCAGTCCTGAGCGCTTCACTTTGAAGTCCCCCATACGGGTTGTACTGTGCAGAATACTCTTGTTTCCTTATCTAAATAGCTGTTGCCTGTACTGGGGGTGTAGCTCTCCATGATAGAGTGCTTGACAAGCATGTAAAAGGCCCTGGGTCCAGTCCCTAGTATCAGAAAGAAAAAAATGAATCTACTGCCCAAGAAGACCCTGTTTATGAGGTGTATTATGAAAATACTTTTTATTATGATAAAATATAACAAAACTTACCATTTCGGTCATTTTTAAGGATAAACTTCACTCAGAAGAAATTCATTCTTGGGAGGAAAAAAAACGGGGAAATCTTCATGTTGAGTTTGGCCAAAAAGCACATGCAACAAGAGAAAAAATAGATAAATTGTACTATACCAAAATTAGAAGCATTCATACATGAAGGACAATCTACCAAGGGAGGGAAAAGGAAGTCCACAGACTAAGGCTTTTTGATAAGGGATTAATAACCGGGATATGAAAAGAACTTGTACAACTCAATGGCAGAAAAACAACCAACCTAAGTCAAAACTGGGCAAAGGGGCTGAGTAGACATTTCTCCAAAGAAGAAATACGAATGACCAATTAGCAGGACAAGATGCTAGACATCACTCTCACTAAGGAAACACAAATCAAATGCACAGTGGGGTCCCACTTCATACCCACTAGCTTGACTAGTATGAAAAATAAAAAATAACAGGTACTAGTGAGGATGTGGAGAAACTAGAAGTCTTGTGCCTTTCCAGTGGGAATTTCAAATGCCAATCAACTTTCAAGGCTCCCTTGTATCTTCATTTTATAAATGTGGAACTTAATGTTCAAAAGAATTGGGGGATTTATACAGGGTCACCCAGCCATTATGGCACAACCGGAAGTAGAATTGTATTATCTGACTCTTACACAATGTACCAGATGGACAGAAATTTGAACCCATCCTGTTCTGGGTGGGCGGGGCTGAGGGAGGAGCACAATGAGCTGGGAATTGACACTGGTTAGGACAGTGTGGAGACCCCCCATGCACAAGGCACTCATTCAAAGCATAGGGCAGCTTTCCTACCAGGCAAAGCAACGTGAAAGGTCAAGATTCCACCAAATACCTGCCAGCATCTGGACTTTGACATCGTCTTGTTGAGAGACACCTGCCCTTGACCAGGCGGTCTTTGGCTTTTCCCTCTCAGATTTGCTTGGCTGTTCCTTTGCATCCAA